TCTATCTATCTATCTATCTATCTATCTATCTATCTATCTATCTATCTATCTATCTATCTATCTATCATCTATCTATCTATCTATCTATCTATCTAGCCATCTATCATCTAGTTAATTATTGCAAGACAATGGATACATTCTAAGCATAACACAGTCATCTTGCAGGCCTCTTGTTCCCATGGGTTCTCCAAGGTTGCCTTACAAAGACAGGTTTTTAAGGGCTTTCCAAAATATTTCTCTCTCTCCCTATTTTCTTCTCCCTCTCCCTCTCTCCAGCCATGTATTTATTTATTTAAACTATATAGCTCATATAGAGAGCTTACATAGCTCATATTATAACAAACTCTGGATGTCTCCCAATAAACTAAATTAAAATAACATGAAAGCCATATTAAAACCATTAAAACCAAATGCATAAAAACAAAACCAAACAAAAAACCCCTCCATGCATCATTTTATCATTTTTCCAGTTTCTCGAGCTAGAAGGGTTTCAAGGCATCTTGGCTATTGAGAAGCTGATGATAAAACCATCTCATGAAACTCAAAGTGACTGGAAAAACAATGAATAAAAACACAGGGGAAATTAGGAAGCCCAGAGGGAAGGCAACACATTTTTTTTAAAAAAAATCTGCTGAGTTTCAAACCAGCACCCTGCAAGAGATGGGTAGGTGGTGTGATGGACTACAGTGAAATGGCAGCTTCCTAGGAAAAAGGGAGTGTATTCCAGAGAGAGGAGAGAAACAGGACAAGAGCCCAGCACAGAAATGGATAGGACACAGAGGAAGAGAGTAGAGAGCCACTCCTAGAATCTTCCAGGATATATTCATAGGTTGGGAGCAGCTGGGCTTTAATCTGGCAAGATTTTGTCTGTAATAAGTAAATAAAGAACTTTGACCAAATTGTGTCACATCATTCTTGAGCTTAGCCTGACACAACCTTTCATTTACACAGCAGTGTTTATAACCATTGGGCTGTTACAGGATGTCCTCAACTTACAACAGTTCATTTAGTGACCATACAACAGCACAAAAAAGTGACTTATGACCATTTTCATATTTACGTCAATGTTGCAGCATCCCCAGAGTCATGTGATCAAAATTTGGATGCTTGGCAACTGAGTCATATTTATGATGCTTTCAGTGTCCCGGGGTGAGTGATCACCTTTTGCAACCTTCTAACAAGCAAAGTCAAGGGGGAAACCCAATTCACTTAACAACTGTGTTACTAACGTAACAACTTCTGTGGTTCACTAAACAACTGTGGCAAGAAAGGGGCAAAACTCTCTTAACAACTCACTTAGCAACAGAATTTTGGGGTTCAGTTGTGGTCATATGTTGAGGACTACCTGCATAACATTTTCGATAAAGCAGCTCTAAAGTATATTAGAGATCATGGTGAGCATTGAGTCAGGATGGTTTCTTCTTCTGCAAAGTCATCCACTAACTGCAGTTGGCAATAGCCCAAACCTGCTATTTGAAATGGACTTGACGATAACTTGAAGAACTTCAGAAAACGAGCTGAAAAATTCACTCCAAATTGCTTTGATTTAGATTTTTTTTTTTTNGACATGGGAATTGAAGAATAAAGACAAATCAGAATATTACAGGATCGGGGATAAATTTTATCGCGTGACCCGACAAATGCACGCCCGACAAATGCGTGCCGACAAAACCGCCGTGACAAAACGGTGACTTCGAAAGCGCGCCCACTAAAGCGCGCCGACAAAACAGCGCCCACAAATGCGCGATTAGGGTTTTTAGGTTGGGGTTAGAGTTAGGATTGTTAACGTTGTTATCGTTGTTTTCACGTTGTTTTCAATGGCGCGCTTTTGTCGGCGTGCATTTGTAGACGCGCTTTAGTGGGCGCGCTTTCGACGTCGCCGTTTTGTCACAGCGGTTTTGTCGGCGCGCATTTGTCGGGCGCGCATTTGCCGGCGAACCATTTTATCGATGCTTTATCGACAAAAAAAACCCAGATCCAAAATAGGCAATGGCTAAGATTCGTAGAATAGAGTTATGTATGAAACCGTAACAGTGAAAATGTATAAGATAAACACAAAGCAACACGATTGGAAATATGATATTTCTATTATTTGTAAATGCGGAATAGATCAAATGTTAAGAAGAAACAATCCCACTGTATCTGCCCTGCCGGCGTGCACGATGTGACAAAAACGACAACGAAAACCCTACCACAAAGGGAGTCGGTGTGATCTGGGAGAAAAGGTAGACAGGAACTCCCTGGGTGACGAATGTTGTGGCAGTGAGTCTTGCAAACCTAACAGCCAGAAAGGGGGGAAAAAAAGGTGAAAAGTCAAACTTGAATTCTATCACAATGAACTGTTGTGTTTAGTTGGCACCTGAAACGGCTTTACATATTATTATTGTTTTTCCCAACAGAAAGAAAAGCTTATATTTTATAAACTGTCCAGAGTCACTTTGTAAGGGGGGGGAGGGGGGGGACAGGCAGCCTAAAAAATTACCAAATAAATACGTCGGCTCAATCAAATGAATTTATTAGTTGACGCAGGAGCACATTTAGTAATAAATTAATATATTTCTCACTAGTTGATAACCTGGCATTGCCTGGGTATTTATTTATAAGGGGAAAATGTCCGGACCAAAGGTTATTTCTAATGTTGGATTTTCCCCCTTACCAGAGGGAGCCCCCTTGCGGGCGGGTGGGGGTGGGGGGCTGGGGAGGAGACATGGCTAGGTTGGGCGTGGCCAGCTCGACATCACGTCGGGAGCGCCTGTGGGGGCCCAAGAGCTTTGCCTGCGAAAACAGAGCTTGCAGCCCTCCCCTCCGGTTTCCCTGGCAGAGGGTTGCAGGAGGCCATTGCGGCCGAAAATGGAGCTCCGGGAGGCGGGGGAGCGCAGGAGGCCCTCCTGAGCTCCGTTTTCACTGGCAGAGGGTTGTCCGGAGGCCATTGCGGCCGAAAACGGAGCTCCGAGAGGCGGGGGAGCACAGGAGGCCCTCCCGAGCTCCATTTTCACTGGCAGAGGGTTGTTTGGAGGCCATTGCGGCCGAAAACGGAGCTCCGGGAGGCGGGGGAGCGCAGGAGGCCCTCTCGAGCTCCATTTTTATTGGAAGAGATACCCCAGGCCGGTTCTTCGCTGTTTCCTGTGTGACCCCGCGGGCGAGATCTAAGCACCCCGTGGGCTTCATCCAGCCTGCAGGCGTTGAGTTTGACACCCCTGCTCTAATTGGACAAGCGCTGCAAGAATTGTGACGGCTACCTTTTGCTGCTACCCCCACTTGATGGATGGGCCCGCGCATCGTAGCCTATAACCACTCCTCTCTTTTTCAGGTCACTGATGTTCTTTTCCAGATACCTACAAAATCCCTGAAAACAAAGCAAAGCAGTTGCGTTTAGCCGTTTCAATAAGCTGCGTCGGTTTTGGCACACCTTGTTCGGACCGACGCTTCACCAAACCACGAAGCAGACTCCTTGTCCTGACATAAACCCTTTTTATTCAGCGAATGTGAATTGATTGTTAGTCGCGCATCTAACTTTCTTTAGTGGGGGTCGTTGCTTGGGAAATGGGGGCTCAGCTTCCTTTAAATACGCACGCGGAAATAACTCTGATACCTGGGAAGTCTGAATAATAGTCAAGTCGTTCATCTGGGATGTGCCTGGTCCCATCGCCGCTCGAAGTCCTGCCGTCCCAAATTCCATCCGTGAGCCGAAGCATTTCAATAGTTCTTCCATGCTTCCCTTGGCAATCAGCTGCTTAACTATTTCCAAGGTTTTAGGGTTCTGCAAAATATTACAAACTTGAGTTTAGTTATGCCCTCTTGTTGTATACCTGTAGGGTGAGGTTCTTGAAAGTGTTTCTCATATATCTATATCTATACCTACCTACCTACCTGCCTAATATATATAGCCACAGACACACACATGCACACATATATATATGACTTAGCTAAGATTGTCAGAGTGTAAAAACCATTAAAGAGACATCTGCATTTATACACTATTAATCAATTTGGCCACTGCACGCGTGAGCAATATATTTTAAGTTCCTGAAATCGCAATGTCTGTTTCTTCCTTTATAATTACACCTGGAACTCATATTTTTAGGATAATTTGCAATACACACACAAACACACACACACGACTTAGCTTTTGTTAGCCACTGCTAAGATCGTCAGAGTGTAAAAACCATTAAAGAGACATCTGCCTTTATACACTTTTAATCAATTTGGCCACTGCACGTGTTAGCAATATATTTTAAGTTCCCGAAATCGCAATGTCTGTTTCTTCTTTTATAACTACACCTGGAACTCTTATTTTTAGGATAATTTGCAATACGCAATACACACACACACACACAAACACACACACGGTTAATATGTATACGGCAAATTCTAGACTTACAACCATAAGGGAGCCCAAAATTTGAAACCCATGCTTGATACCGTATTGCCAATTTATATTTCATTTCCTATTTTATGATCTTTAGTGACAGAAGCAAACAGCCTTCCACGCTTTTGCTGGTGGCTTAACCTAAAACCATCCTGAGTATATAAAACGGGAGATATTTCAATTGAATTGAATTCGAAGAACGTTTTGTCATTCCAGATTACTTGGTCATAAATTGGCTTGAGTGAAATGTAGAAACCAATGTTTGTTCCTGTGTTCCAGGCGGCTGCCTGGTTCGTTCCAGGATGACGAGATCGGCCCACGTCACAGCTTGCCAAATTCAATTCCTGTTTCGCAACAGGCACAATTCGGCTTATCGGACGAACGATGCAACTGAACTTTACTTAAAAGTTTTGTAATTTTTCTGCCCCTCTGAGCTACTTGGTTAAGAGTGGAGACTGCTAAGAGTGGAAATCTGCTTTACTAATGGGGGCTTTGAGGGGGCAACACCTAAAAAGGTTTTTGCAGAATAGGTTTGCTCAATTAAAATTCTATTCTGCTTGCATCTTGCATCAGGCACCGCTGAATGATTAATCCATTGGAAGAGGTCTCTGGTTCCAGAAATTCTTGAGATCAAGAGGTGGTCATTCTATTCTATTCTATTCTAATATTCTATTCTATGCTATGCTATCCAATTCTTATTTTGATATTCTGTTCTGTTCTATTCTATATTCTGTTCTGTTTTGTTCTATTCCGATATTATTCTACTCTACTCTATTCTATTCTATTTTCTGATATTCTATTCTATTCCTATTTTATTCTGCTTTATTCTTTATCCCAATATTAGCAGTTAGCAGTTAGACTTATATACCGCTTCATAGGGCTTTCAGCCCTCTCTAAGTGGTTTACAGAGTCAGCATATTGCCCCCAACAATCTGGGTCCTCATTTCACCCACCTCGGAAGGATGGAAGGCTGAGTCAACCTTGAACCGGTGAGATTTGAACAGCTGAACTGCAGAACTACAGTCAGCTGAAGTAGCCTGCAGTGCTGCACTCTAACCACTGCGCCACCTCTATTCTATTCTATGCTATCCTATTCTTTATTCTGATATTCTATTCTATTCTTTATTTTGATATTCTATTCTATTCCAATATTATTCTACTCTATTCTATTTTTTATTCTGATATTCTATTCAATTCCTTATTCTGATATTCTGTTCTATTCCATTCCTATTCTGTTGTTTTATTCTTTATTCCAATATTCTATTCTATTTTAATCTAATATTCTATTCTATGCTAAGCTATGCTATCCTTTTCTTTATTCTGATATTCTATTTTATTCTTTATTTTGATATTCTATTCTATTCCAATATTATTCTACTCTATTCTATTTTTTATTCTGATATTCTATTCTATTCCTTGTTCTGATATTCTGTTCTATTCCCTTCCTGTTCTGTTGTTTTATTCTTTATTCCAATATTCTACTCTATTCTTTATTCTGATATTCTATTCTATTCCAATATTAGTCTACTCTATTCTATTCTATATTCTGATATTCTATTCTATTCCTATTTTATTCTGCTTTATTCTTTATTCCAATATTCTATTCTATTCTATGCTATCCTATTCTTTATTCCAATATTCTATTCTATTTTAATCTAATATTCTATTCTATGCTAAGCTATGCTATCCTTTTCTTCATTCTGATATTCTATTTTATTCTATTCTTTATTCTGATATTCTATTCTATTCCGATATTATTCTACTCTATTCTATTCTATATTCTATTCTATTCTTTATTCTGATATTCTATTCTATTCCAATATTATTCTATTCTATTCATATTCTTTTCCGATATTCTATTCATATTCTTTTCCCATATTATTCTATTCTTTATTCTGATATTCTATACTATTCTATTCTATTTTTTGAAAAATTGACAGTGCTGATTAATTAAATGTAATCACCAGGATATAAAAGTCTTCCAGAGAGCTATAAAATTTAATTTGGATCATCCCATGCCCTAAGCACTGCATGCTTGTAGCACACACTATGTACTTTAACCTATTCATAAAATCGAAACCCAGAATGATTAAATTTACGTGATTCAATGCTGGCTTTGTGCTGTGCTATCTTACGTAGGATACAACGAGGTGTGTCACATGAATTGCGTTAGGTTTCTAAGAGACCCTATCAAGACAAAAAGACTTTATAATTGCCCATTCGACTGAAATAACCAAGCAAACCGAATGCCAGAATTAAGGCATTTGGAAGGGACCTTGGAGGCCTTCTAGTCCAACCCGCTGCTCAAATAGGGGACCCTATAACACACTTCTGTTATCGATTGCCCCAAAACCTATTTCACAAGCCATCCTGAATACTTCTGCAGGCCACCGAGATGGAGAAAAGATAAATAAATTAAGATGTGTAAGCAGAGCATTAAAATGCAAATAAATACCAAGAGCTGTAAAGGCAGTTCCCAATTTGCAACATTCAGTGACCACGTTCGAAGTTACAACGGCCCTGGGAAAAGGGACTTATGGCCGTTTTTCACACTTACGACCATCGTAGCATTTCCTCCAAGGTCACGTGATCGAAATTCAGGCGCTTGGCGACTGACTCATCTTTATGACGTCCGCAGCGTTCCCCGGGACATATGATCAAGGCAGTCCAGGTAGTCCTCAACTTACGACCGCAAGTGAGCCCAAAATTTATGCTGCTAAGTGAGACACCTGCGAGGTGAGCTGTGCCTCATTTTACTGTTTTTCTCGCCACAGTCGGTAAATAAGTCACGCGGCCGCTTAGTGAATCCGCCCACCCCCATTGACGTTGCTTTTCAGAAGGTCTCAAAAGGGAATCCTGTGACGCCGACACCGCCACCACCGTCATAAACGCGAATCAGGTTGTCAAGCATCCAAATGAAAATCACGTGGCCCCGGGGAGGCTTGCAACACTTGGTCGTAAGTGTGAAAAATGGCCCAAGGCCCCATTTTTTCCCCCAGCACCATCGGACAGTCACTAAATGAACCATTGTAATTCGAGGACTACCTGCCTATGGAGCAATGACTTAAAAGCACAAGGCAGTAGTATCCTCCTAGTAATCTTGCCTATAGTACAGTTTAGAGAAAAACAGCCTCCGTTAAGCAGAAAGACGGGCGTTTTGCAAACCGACTTTCGCCGGCATCTGATTTATTTACTATTAGAAGCAGCCTCGAATGACAGCAACCCGGAAGCCACCGCTGGTTCAAATCCCGCTTGGGCCTTGAACTTGCATCAGATTTTTTTGCCGAGGCCGAAGGCCGGCCAGCAGGAGGAACAAAGGGGGAAGGATTCAAGTGTTGGCCAGAAATCCAGCAAAACCAGTCCCACCCCCCACTGCACACACACACACACACACACACACACACACACACGTTTGGGGGAGTAAAAAGGGCACCCCGTTACAAACCCATTGGAGCAATTCAAAGGAATGCCAGGACTGAGAGTAAGGAGGGGGGGGGGGGACGACACAATCCTCATTTTTTTCCTTGGTTTTTTTTTGCAAGGGGGGGGGGAGCCCAGTCAAAACCCATTTTTTTCTTGGGTTTTTTTTTTAGGGGGGGGGAATGCCTGGTAGCAACAGATCCCCAGCCAAACCCCAGCTTTTTCTTTTTGGTGTGTGTGTGGGGGTCTGGTTGCAACAAATCCCCAGCCGAACCCCAGTTTTTTCTTTGGGGGGGGATCTGGTTGCAACAGATCCCCAGCCGAACCCCAGTTTTTCTTGATTTTTTTTTTGGGGGGGGTGCCTAGTAGCAACAGATCCCCAGGTGAACCATGCTTTTTTCTTAGGGTTTTTTAGGGGGCGCCGGGTTGCAACAGAACCCCATTTATTTCTTTTTTGGGGGGGGGTGCCTGGTTGCAATAGATGCCAGGCGAACCCCATTTTTTTCTTTTTTGGGGTGGTGGTGCCTTGGGTTTCAACAGATCCCCAGCTGAACCCCATTTTTTTCCTTTTTTGGGTGGTGATGTTGGTGCCTGGTTGCAATAGATCCCAGGCAAAACCCATTTTTTCTTTTTTTTGGGGGGGGTGCCTTGGGTTTCAACAGATCCCCAGCCGAACCCCAATTTTTTTCTTTGGGGGGGGGAACGACGACGCCTGGTTGCAAGAGATCCCAGCATTCACCCCCTTGCTAGCCTTGGAACAAAGCCTTAGCACAAGGGAAGGGAGGCCACCAGGAAACCCCCCACTCCCCCAACGCCCGGGAGCGATCCTCTGCTGGGAAGCTTCCTCTCCGGAACGCCGCGGAGGCGTGGGGAGGGGGGGGGAGATCGGGAATCGGGGCGGCGACCGACCCTCGGGATCCCTTCCGATCTCTCACCTTGTCCCAGAGAAGCCACTGGGCCGCCGCCGCCCGGGCGCGATCCGCCGCCTCCTCCGCCGCCGCCATCCCGATGCCAAGAGAAGCGCAGGGAAAGGCCGGACTGCCGGCTCTCTCGGCGGGCCCCGCCCCGGGGGGGGGCGGAGTAAAGGGTGGGCGGGAACCTCCCCGACGAATGGCAGCGCCCGCCTGGGGAGAGGGGAGGAGCTCCGCGCGGGAGGGGGGAGGAGAGGTGGAGGGAGCCCAAGGAGGTGCTCCGCCCTGCTCCGCCCATTGAAGGACAGGAAGGGGAAGGAGAGGGGACCACTAGGAGATCACCTTAGAGGCAATCTTTGCCTGCAATTCTTTCCTGGGTGGCTCAGTCCTTTCTGGTAAAAATTTTATTGGATTTTTTTTGGGGGGGGGGGTATGCCTGGTTGCAACACGTCCCTAGCTGAACCCCGATTTTCCCTTTGGTTTTTTAAGGTGGCGCTGGGTTGCAACACATGCCAGCCGAACCCCATTAATTTCTTGTTTCTTTTAGGGGTACCTGGTTGCAGCACGTCCTCAGCTGAACCCCATTTTTTCCTTGCTTTTTTGGGTGGGGGGACACCTGGTTGCAACGCATCCCCAGCTGAACCCCGTTTTTTCTTTTGGGGGACACCTGGTTGCAACAGATTCCCAGCTGAACCCCATTTTTTTCCTTTTTAAGGGGGCACTGGTTGCAACAGATACCCAGCTGAACCCCAATTTTTTCTTTTGGGGGGATCTGGTTGCAACAGATCCTCAACTGAACCCCATTTTCTTCCTTTTTTTAGGAGGCACTGGGTTGCAACACATGCCCAGCTGAACCCCATTTTTTTCTTTTTGGGGGGATCTGGTTGCAACAGATCCCCAGCTGCACCCCAATTTTTGGGGGGGTATCTGGTTGCAACAGATCCTCAATTGAACCCCATTTTTTTCCTTTTTTAAGGAGGCACTGGGTTGCAACACATCCCCAGCTGAACCCCAAATTTCTTCCTTGGGGTTTTTTAGGGGGTGCAACAGATCTCAGTCAAACCCCATTTTTTCTTGGGTTTTTTTTGGGGGGTGGGGTAGCATGCTACACTATTGCTCAGTCCTTTTCCAGCAAATTCCCCCCACCCTCCCTGCTCTGCTCTGCCCAGGATGATGGGTAGGGTTGCTTAATACAGCTCAAAGACCCCTTGAGGAGGTCCTAGGGGAGAGGGGTTTCCATTGCGGAGATGTAGGGAGAGTCCTTTGCCAATATCTTGAAGCACAGATTTACCCAACTGTATTTTTTTTTAACTACAGGTAGTAGTAACTTACTACTTACTTACGTAACTCGACTAACAACACTTCAGTGACTGAAGTTACAACAGCAGTTAAAAAAAAGAGTGACTTAGGACCGATTTTCACACTTAATGACCGTTGTAGCATCCCCCCGTGATTTATATTCGGATGCTTATTAAATGTGACTCACGCTTATG